AACCAAATTATCTTGTAATATACTCCACCAAAGCAGCACTGCCCGTCGCGCTGAAACGGCTAACGGCGTGAATGAAGCTTTCTCTGCTTCTAACTCTCGGCTAGCGTACTGGTGCTTCTTCGCTGTTTCGTACTGCCTGATTATCTTATCTGGATCCATACGTCTATAGGAGTCTGCATTTGGGTACTAAATTCTCACAACGAAAAAAAGCCGAACTCTGCCTCTACCAGAATTCCTTAGCAACTATAACCAGTCGCACTAGAGACAAACGCGATTCAGCTTCTTTTTAAAATCCTTTTATTTCACAAGACCACTCAAATTATTGTAAAAAAAATTATTTTTTTCCTTTTGGCCTCGATGAAACATAGACAAAAAATGGTTCAAATCAGAGTTTATTTCTGTCGGTACTCTTAAACTCGCTGATATTCAATTTCCAAGTCTTCCCGGCTTCATATACAAAGAAATAAACGAGGACAACACGGATCCTGCAGTGGCGTCTGTCGAGCCTGTGCTACCTGAACAGCGGTTGAGTTTGTCCTTAAATTTTGTCTTTGCCTGAGTCCCGCCATTTTTCGATTGCCCGCTTTTTCGTTCATTTCCATTAAGAACCTCTCACGTACAGGCTACATATCTATATGTCTATCTTAGAACTGAGCAAAAATAATTAATTATTGACTAAGTGAGAAACTGGACGGGAAATGTTTGGCCCGCGGTCATGAAGTACCAGCTTCGCGGCCGGCTCGGTCCATTCCGGTTTCAAACCAAATCACGCTATTTTTAGCTTTTACCCCACGATTTTTTTTTCAATATTTACTGAGAAGAAAATCTGAATCGTCCAAAGTAAAGTTTCAAACAAAAATTTCATTATTTTCTTTACTCGCGCGGTTAGGTGCAATATCGGCGTGGGCGTCACCTTTGGGAGAATATGTTTTGCTGGTGTAAATGGAGTATATGTGACCTAAGGTATACTATGTGTAAACGAGGAAAATAGTAGAGCGCAGTTATTCATTTCAAACACTTCAAGAAGTATAGAATTTAAGAATTGAGTTTGCAACAGAAGTTCGAATTCAGGTGTTAGCAAAAGTTTCAAGAAAGTCTTTTTACTTCGGGGCAGATGTTTATTTAGAAATTTAGACGTTAGATCAACGTAAGTCAATTCTAGCTGTCTGAACAGGGTTTTGGAACAATTGAATAAAGGGGGTAAGTTTCTAAAGAAACTGTGGTGCTGCGTCGGTGGGAGAGTATAGCAGGTAATTAAGTGTTAACGACTGAGTTAAAACGTAAATTGGCCACCGTAAAGAGTAAAAAAGTTGACGTTTTGAGCGTTAGCCTGACGAAGGGCTAACGCTCGAAACGTCAGCTTTTTTAGTCTTTACGGTGACCGATTTACGTTTTCAACTAAATTGTTAACACTAAATTATTTGGAACTATTGGTTACCGAAAGCGTAGTCACAAACATTTTTGCTATAAATTACTGACGACTTCTTGCTTGAGAGCAGATCCTCAGAGTGACCTCATGAAATTTAAATGATCCCATTAAAACTAAATGCACTCCCTTCAACTAAGATTTAAAACATTTCCCTCTTTGCTAAAGACAGCCGGAACCAAGACAAAACTCTCTTTTCAGAGTAGAAAAAGGTCATAGTACGATGTATGAAAGATGGAATCTCCGGTAGATTCCAGAAATAATAATAAAGTGTGAATAAAGAGTAGATTCTAACATCTTGGGCCCAAACTTGAGATATTCCTATAACATGAGCTAATTAAACGTACATGGATTCCTTCGGTAACAAAGGGGAACAATCTGATTGGCTGAAAGTTGTGCGTGGAGGAAGGGATCAGAGATCAGGGATTTTTTAAGACCTCTCACCGCCGTCTGGGTTTAACTTGCTCAGGCAGAAGTGTTCGGGTCTCGCCTTGGGCCACAGCCACCAACTGTACCATCGGCAGATGCTTATTAAAAAAAATGTTCATATGAAACTCCTGAGGGATTAAAACATAGTCAAGCGGGAAAAGGCTTCATCTGGAGCAGTGAGCTGTGGTACCTGGCATTCATATCATAAATTAGTCAACGTTTCTTCTCGCTTTAATTCTTAGAGCATGGGCTGTCTCATCAAATTTAAATGCTTTTTTTCTCGAAAAGCAAAAAGCTATTGTGTCGATATTCATCCGACCAGCTAGGGGGTGGAATTATGAGCGTGAAATAATTTTGCTATAAATAAGGGTGTAAAGCATGAGTGTTTTATGAAAATTAAGTTTTCACTGAGGATCAAACATCACAGAGGGACTGTCAGGAACAAAAGGTAGGTTTATTTCAGGTAAGGAAAGTGTTCAAATTACAACTGTATACAAAATAGTACATTAGGTGAAGCGCTATGCTAGTGATATTCATGGTTATTATATCAAGTTCGAAGAAAACTGAAGCTTCGTGTCTGAGAACTGAAATTGTGACCCAGAAAAAAGCATTTGCCTCATTCTTGTTTAAGCGTGTTTTTATATTTATAAGACCGGTAAGATTTGGTCATCTCTATGGAAGGCTGAGATATGTAGCGGGCTTAAGTATTTTGTTTCCTTATGTCAATTTTTTAACCCAATCCTTTGTTCAGTTTTTCTCGCGAAACTTAAACGCATCATCATCATTGCAACGTTAAATGGTCCAATTTAATTTTAAAAAAAATTACGATATATGTATATATATCTATTTGTTTTATTCTATGTTTATATTTGCTATTTTCATACAGGAGAATGTTACGTCTTGCCCTCTCTGCGATCTTTGTCCTTTCTCTCTTAAAACCCATCGAGGGAGCTGCAGGTAACAGTTTAAAAGTCAATCGACTTAGTTCATCCATAAGTGTATTTTAACTTAGATCGAGCCACTTCGCTTGTCGTAAATTATTATTCAAGTAAGTCTTGAAGTTCCCTAAATCATTGATTTCCTCTCGGTTTCGCTTTCAATCTTCTCTATTTAATTAAAGTGGTCAAATTTCCCATGTCGTAAATAGGCATTAATGTGTTATGGAGAGCTTGGTTATAGATTAAGGGGGTAAAAACGTCTTTTAAACATTTTTTAAGAACTAAGAGCATATATCAAACTCTGTTCGAGAACTATGTTGTTCAGGGTGATTAGTCAAATATAAAGCAGCTGATGCACCAATCACATTTTAAGGAAATTGCGATGGTTATGATTAAAGGGAAAATCACGCAATCTCAAACGACATTGACGCAAAACGTTCCTCGAGTTGTGCTTTCAAAGTCATAGTTTGTGTCCTTGAGTACGGGCTTCGTGCACGCTTTTAGCTATATCCCTTTATTCTTTCTGATATTTCTTTTTATTTAATTCTTTTTATTTAAAGGGGATAATTTGTACCCGTAGATTATGCAATACAAATTACAGGCCACCGTGCTCGCTCATGAGCAAAAGACCATCGTACTTGTTTCCATAATTCCGTAAATTTCTATTGATAAGCAATTTTGAGAGTTAAATATTTACTAATGACTAAAGTTTACATTTCACTTGAAAAAACCGATTTGCAGGAATGGTGCGATATTTATTTGCTTACCTATTTTTGACTTTTCCCGCGCAATCTTCAAAGAGCCACGACTTATGTTATTGTCACGAGATGTCTAGGAGACTTGGTTACAAAGCCAGACAAAATAATAACAACGAAACCAGCCTCGAAAGTCCGAAACCAGTTATATTTAACGAAAATGACATTGACAAGATTTATCATGAAGACATTTTCATGGTATTTTAAAGAAGAAAAAATCCCCGATTGAAGAATTTCAATTGATCTTCCTAAACGATGAGAGGTAAAAATCTCGGGACTGCTCTCTGCTCTTCGAAAGAATAATTATTGTGTTTACTAATTTTAAGTCATCTCTTCCAATCAAGAGTATACATTTGAGGCCGCCTCTGATATTAATGCCTTCAGTGTTCCAACAACATCGGCACTTGCGCAATCGTCTGTACGGTATAAAGATGGATCAAATTCAATGAAGTGGACCTGGGCCAGTGGAGATACAATGACACACACCTTCTCCCCAGCAGTAAGTTTTAACCCTTTGCACTCTAACATCAGTATGTATTTTCTCCATACTATCCTCTTTACATTTTTCAAGGTAGTGACCAGGAGAATTTGATCAGAAATCAGGAGCCTCCTAGGCTTGCGATCATTTCCTTTATTCTCATGATCGTAACGAATGATTCAGGAGTGTTACAAAAAGGAGAAATTAGATATTGGTCACTTCAGGTTTAAAGCATTTATTGCCCTTCTTTTAACTTTCCAGATTTATTTATTTATTTACCTATTTTGAACACATATTTAAAATTTAGCCTTTAATCTTCAACTAAGGAAAATAATTTAACATGTTTTACAAACTTATTTTGTCAATCTTAGCAACCCCCATCCCACCCCCCAAATCAATTAGAGATAAAAATGCAATTTGTTACCTAATGAAAGATGAACTGAAAATGTTGGTGTATAGTAAGTAAACAGAACCTATTTTAAAGCTTCAAATGTATGCCAGGTTTGTGTATTAGTGTCTATGTGATGTGTTCATTAAAAATAACGGAGATCACAAACTAACTGCAACATACATTTCAGATTTCAGGAAATGAGCTTAAAAAGGGAGGGATTCAGCTGTGGCTTTACAATACTAATCCACGTGCAGGAGAGAGCTTGGCTGTATCTTTCCAAAATACTGCATCCACCACTGTTACTGTATCACAGTTCAATATTAAGCTGAATTTTAAGGTAAGGGGTAATGTTGCAAAACACCTGTTAAATTCCTGTGGTCAAATTCAATTTTGCAAGTGTACAGCAGATTGCCTTTGTACACCTTGATGATGTGTATGAGCATGCTTTGAAGTGTAGCAGAGGTATCTTCTATTAATGCGGCATTTAAAACTACGGCATTGGAAATGTTTTGTGGCAATAATGTAAAACATTGAATTTTTTTCATATTTGCAGTATGATCATGTATTATTGTATCACTTAGCTCTTATGTGAGGTCTGATTAGTTAATCTAGTTGGCCGTATTTCTCTTTTTTGGACTGCACTATAAGTTACAGAACCTTGTTTTTTCAGCCTTTCGCGGGCTATAAATCTGAGCTGAAAAAACTTGATTGGTATCATAGTGTACAGTCCATAGACTTGTTTAGTAAGGGGTATCTATGGATTACATGTTGATGGTGTTAACAAGTATTATGGCAAAATGCTATAGTAATACACTTTACTGATAGCTTTGGGGGATGGTTATTTCAAAGATAAGGACAGAGAAAGACAGCAATCTCCTTAGAATCAAGGAGGTTACTAAGGCAACCAAACCACAGCCCACATCTAAACATCTGTCAACATGACACCAGAATACTTGTGTATAGAATGACTACTTATCCAAACTTTTGGGGGTAGAAAAGAAGTAGGAAGTGAAACAAAGAAAGCAATGGAGCAAAGCAGCAATTGAAAGTAATTTGAGTTAAAACATTGGCATAACAGAAGTTCAATAACTTTTTTCATAAGCTGCTGTTGATAATATAATAGACAGCTGTGCCTGAAAAAGGGCTGTAAGGAAAAATATGAGAGCCTGCATGTAGGCCTTTAACTCCCAAGATCTGATTGTTAATTCTCCCCTCTAGCTGCTACACATTTCCTTGTAAATTTGTTATGAGAATTTGGTGTGTGATCAAGGTAATAACTTGTACCTGATGAGTTTGAGTATAGCCACTACCTGTTTACCAGATAATGTATGGATATTATGGGGAGAAGTAACATGTTAATCACTTCTGGGAGTTATAAGGCTTATGTTGAAATTGAAACCAGCTGTTCAATAATCACTTTATTCTTTCCATTTGAAGGGGTGGCGTGCTGTGTGGGTATCCTATCAAGAAGCTATTGTGACTAAAAACAAAGATATTAATGTTATGAAAATAACTGCTCCTACAACTCAAGCTACCATACATCCATTGTATTTTGATCTCTTGCGTTTTGCAAGTGAAGTCAGGAGGCAAAGCCGTGACAAAGTGGTACCACCAATAGATCCAAACCTTTACTCCAACAACAACTTCTGGCAGCAAACCTATCGCTGGAGTCAGGTATGTTTAAACATGTTTGTCTTAAAATATATCTAATAAAATAAAAATGAAATGGGATTTAGCAGTGCACATTCTACGAGGTGGCTCCTCTTGTCCACTGTTTCCAGGTCGAATTGGAATTTAGAATGTTGGTTTTTGTGGATGGAGGAAAAGCAGAGGAATAGGAGAAAAACCCACGGAGCAACTATGAGGACCAACAAAAAACATAAGACACATTTGACACCAGATCCTTGAATTGAACCTGGGCCACAGTGGTAAGAGGCGAACCCTCTCACTACAGTGCCATCCCTCCCTCCCACTCCTCTAATAATAAAAAAAAGTATAGATCTGTTTAAATGCTCAGTCAGTTTTGTCTTGAAAGATGTGATGTATTTGATATCAATATTTTTCCACAAAATTCATTTATGCAAACTAAAAGGGTTCATTCATGCAGTAACTGTAAATCACTTTGTCCTTTGGTCTTGGAGTAAAGCTTGGGGAGCTGGAAGATTTTTTAACTGAATCAGTTAATGATGGCTGGGGCAAGTTTTGGTGATCTCTGCATTAGGTGCTGTCAAAAATACAGTGTTTTAAAGCTGTCAGTGATTTAAATAGTTATGATGCTGATATTTACTGATAAACAGAATATTACATTATTGTCTGCTTTTGGATACAATTTATCTTCTATTGATGATCAGATATCTCTCACTCAAAGAAAAAATTCACATCCATGTACAGCCATGTAAAATACTCTATGCATATTTCTTTTAGGTATCACCACCAACCATTTCTGTTACCACACCCAGTCAAGAAAAACTGGACAATATGACCCTGATTGAAAAGCGACTAGAGAATTGGTTTGTTAATCAGTCTCAGAGCTCACTCCAGTTTCCAACAAATGCTCAGAGGAGATGGATGTCTTTACAGATGCAAGTGGATAGTGCTTACACTCAGTATGAACAACTAAATATTGTGAAAAGCTCAGAAGGTGTTATTACAGGTAAACACCATGTTAATAACTAACCTATGACTTTTTTGCAAAATTCTAACTTTTTGTTTGGTGGCAGGTTTAAGGACTGAAAATAATAATTTAACCACTTTGATGAAGTTTTAACCCTTTAACTCCCATAGGTGATCAATGCAGAATTTCTTCTCACAATTTCAATGCAGCATCAAGCAGTAAAGTGATGGGAATAAGGGCAAATATTATTAAGAGGGATTATTGCCTGGTCCAACACCAAATTCTCTTAATTCACATCGTAAGAACTGTGTAGTACCCACTAATGAGAATCACTTTTGAGATGTTGGGAGTAAAGGGGTCAAAAGCTAACTAACTGTTTAAAAAATTGGAAATGACATCCCTTCAATCATGATTTTTTTAAAATTTTCAAGCCTTAGTCGATGCGCCTTCAGTCATAATTTTTAAAAATTTTTGGGCCTTAGTCATTTGAAGTGGATAGTGGTATCCACTGGATAGATCTCTGTCCTGTGGATAAAGCAATGGAGTTTGTAAATGCTTATCAGTTGGATAGCAATTTATTTGTTGGATAATGTTATCCACTGTTCCGCATTCTCCTTATATCCCCCTTTCTTAATATGATATTTAACTGACGGAAATGGTGCTCTATGGCCATGATTTCCTTTGCAACTTAACAGTTGCACTTATATCTTAGCATAACATAGGGTTGTCTTTGGTCAACTCACTGACATACTGGTATTGAACTTAGTTGTTGGTGAGTTCACCAGGGGGCGAACTTGGGGGTTGGGGAGTTGACTAAAAGTGTTGGCAAGTTTAATAATGACAACAATTAGTTGCCTAATGGTGTTGGTAAGTTGCTTAATGATTTCAGTAAGTTGGTTGTTGATAATTTGATGTGTCAGAAAAATGATTGAGAGCAGCTTGTTTTTGTTGCTCTATCCAAAAATGAAACCTCCAAAATTGTATTTGCATTGTTACTCTCCAGGGGTGCCTCTTTATGCTGACAAGTCTAAAGTTACTGGTGGTAAAAAATTTGGGGAGGTGGTGGAGAAAG